TGGGCAGCCTCTGGAGCTGAGGGCAAGCCTTGGCTGAAAGTCCGCGAGAAACAGAAGCCCTCAGTCCTACGGCTGCAAGGATATGAATCTTTCTAACAACCTGAGCAGACTTGAAAGCAGATGCTTTCCCAGTCGAGCCTAGGATGAGACCACAGCCCCAAATGACACTTTTCTTGCAGCCTTGTGGTCCCTAAGTGGAGGACCCACCTAGTTCGTGCCTGAACTCCTGACTCACAGAAACTGTGAGATTATACATGTGTGTGTGTTTAAGCCGCAAGTTTGTGGTAAAACTTGACACAGCATAGATACCGAATACATCCTTATTTTTGGTGAGCCATCAAATCCTGCCAGTTTTCTACCTCCTAAATCCACCCTTGTCATGCCACTGAACTAGCTCAGACAGCATGGCTTGCCTGGCCTGTGGCTGTTACCTTCTTATCCCATCTGGTCTCCTTAAGTCCGTTGTCTGCCCAGTCAAGTGAGTGGTCTTTCAAAACGCAAATCCGGGTCACATCCTGCCCGTTTGAAACCCGTCAGCCTCTCCTCCATACCTGCAGGATGACGTCTAAGCCCTTAGCGTGGCCCAGAAGGCCCTTACACCTCTCCACTCTTATCTCTTTCCACTTCTTGGCAAAAACTTCACCCTCCAGTGATACTAAGCTACTTACAGTCACCTGCCCGCTTCTGCACACCTCAAGTTATTAGTCACCTCCTTGGAATGGTCACAGAATGTCCCTTTGTGGAATGCTCTTTCTCTCCTGGATAATTGACACACCGAATTGTATCACAATTACCTACTTATGGATTGGTCTCCACACTAGCCTTTTTGTTCCTGTGGACCGGGGACTGAGTTTTATTCATCTTTGTACTCTGCTCCACCCAGAGAGCCTGGCACATGATAGGTATTTGGCAAATTTTATTGAATAAAGGCCTGAATATAACCAAGAAGGGTGCCAAGAGAATTCGACCTGTACCGTGGTACCGGAAACAGATCCTGAGTGCCTAGTGAAAGCTTCCTAGAACAAAGGCAGTGCATGATGTTGGGGCTTTAACTCTTCTTTCACTCCATTGTCGATTCATCCATCCATCCATCCATCGTCTGATTTTGTAGCAGAGAAAAGAGCAGCCCTTGCTCTCAAGTTGTTCATAGTCTAGTGGTGCTGAGAGATAAGAAACTCAGCAATTGCAGTCCATAATAGAGGTTTGCAACTGACCAGTGCCTAATTCATCCTGGGGATTTGGAAGAATAGTCAAGGAAGACTTTCGAGAGGAGGTGATTCCTGAACCAAGCCTTGAAGGATCATGAATATTTGGCAAGTTGAGGGAAGATGGGAGGAAGAGAGGGAAGTGGACCATTTGACAGCACAGAGGCATTAAGGTGCAAGACACAGTCAGAAAGCTGCAAATCATTTGGTGTGGCCAGCAGAGCAGAGGGCTGGAGAACGTGGTGAGAGGGGACACAGGCAAGCGAAGCTAAGGAATTTATATTTTATCTCAAAGACATCAAAGAATCATTGTAGAATTCTAAGTAGTTTTCATGATGGGCTTAGATTTGCAGCCTTGAAAGATAAATATTATTGGAATGCTTATGAGACTCGATAAATAATACGCCTCCTCCCTACCCAGGTTCTGGACTGGCTGAAAAATAAAGCCAGGAGCCAGCAGATGGAGACTATTTGTTTTCTGATAAAGCGGGCTACCCAGGGCTCAGCCCCAGCATTTGGCAGACTCAACTCCCATCGCAGGCAGCCGAGCGCTGGGCAGGTGTCTTCCTGCTGTGCCCGTCGTGTGCTTCTGCAGCCCTCGCCCCAGTGAGAAAGGGACAAGGAAGGGTGTGGTCCAAAGGTGGCCAAGTTTGTCCTTCCAAGGTCATACTCAGATAATTGACTGGAGGATGTCACTCCACGTGGAAGGAAACAACATTCCCTGGATTTTTCTTCTTCTCTTAACACTTTGAACTTATCCATTTAGCCCATGATCAACTAGCTGTGTATCTGAGCCTTAGGGAGAGGAAAGCACAGCTCCCACCTTCATGATGCAGCCCCTTAAAGCCAACCACCCTTCCTCTGGGGGTCCTGAGACCTCTGGTACCCCAGGAGACTCAGCATTAAGTTAGGAAAGTGCATTATTAACAGTTACCTCCAAGGTCACTTTGTGATCCAATACTGACAATTTCCTTGCTAGTCTATTGCTCACCCCAGATGATGTCCACCTCTGTTGTCCGATATTGTCTATCACGAGGTTTTGCCCACGAGATAAAATGACATCAAAAATTATTCTAGTATTAAAAAGACAACAATTATGTCCCACATTTTAATGTTAACCGCTTCTCACTTTCACATGCCAAAGGAAAAATTAAAATACAAATATTAATACTTCTGGCAAGACCAGAGGAACTAAAGTCCAAAATAACATTTTCTTGCCATTGTGAATGAAGAGACTGCAGACGTACTCCTGCCTCCTTCCCCTCACATTCTCTACATCGGAGCCCAGCTCTCGGTGGCACAGCGAGGTGAGGACGTGAGGATGGAGCAAATACGTCAGGGCATTGAGCATCATAAGGGCCAGTTCTCTTAGCTAGAGACGGGCTTATGCTCTGGAAAGGAGATGGGTCGTAATGAACACTGTGGTGTTGAGTTGGAGTTGGAGGTGTTGGTGTGAGCTTATGGTCTTTAGATGTAGATATTGTATTAGTCAAGATTCTTCAGGGAAGCAGAACCAATAGGATGTATGTATAGAGAGAGAGAAAAAAAGAGAGGCTTATTTTAAGGAATTGCCTTGTGTGATCATGGCGGCTGGCAAGTCTGAAATCTGCAAGGTGGGCCGGCAGACTGGAGACCCAGTGAAGCATTGACGTTACAGCTCAAGTCCAAAAACAGTCTGCTAACAGAATTTCCTCTCTCTGTGGGGAACTGTCTTTCTCTGAAAGCCTTCAACTGATTGGACCCACATGTGGAGGATAATCTGCTTTATCCAAAGTCTATTGATTTAAATGTTAATCTCACACAAAAAAACACCTTCGCAGCAACATCTAGACTGGTGTTTGACCAAATCTCTGGATACTAGAAAAGGAAGCCAAGGTTCAAGCCCTCTCTCCCTCTGCAGGCAGCCATGTCTCAGGGAGGCCAGAGCTCGGGGGGGGGGGGGGGGGGGGGGGCGGGGAGGGAGGGCGGGCAGGAGCTTTGATGGGTAAGAGTAGGTTGCACGGGATTTGGGAGGTTTTGCTCTTGTTTTGTTTTCTTGGCTTTTGCTTTATTCCTATTTTTCTTTCCTTTATCTGATTTTGTTGTTGTTATCTAAGGGTTAGGAAAAAAAAAAAAAAAAAAGCCACGGCATTTTCCCAAGAGTTCTTCCAGAAGGTGAGAAACACGAGACAGGAGACTAGATTTCAAGGGGTGGTGAAGACAAATAAAGCTGCTCTCCGCTTATCTCCCCCGGAGTCCAGCCCGCTGGATAAGCACTAGTGAAACATCAGAAACACGCCTGGAGATGAAGAGAGGAATCCAATGTGTTTGGGCCTTACAACTATTTTTTGAAATGTCAAAAATGAAACTTTTTGTTCTTGCAAAGAACTGTGACTCTCCCTGCACGGAAGTCCAGAGAGGCTGGCCTGTCCTCGGGCACCCCCGAAGATGGGCAGCATCTCAGCACCGCTCCCGGTGGGGGTTTCAATGACCTCTGGGGGTGGTTTGTGCCATGTTATAAAGGAGATGACTTGGCTAACCTGTCAGAACCACCTTTGTTTTGCTGTTTTTTAAGAGTAAAATAAAGCCGTCATATTCAGAACATAAAAATTCGTGAGCAAATAAATAAGTAATAAACAGAGTGACCCAAGAAGAGTGTTGATAAGATGTAGAAAGAACGCCAGTGGGCGGAGAGAGGTGCCAGGGCTTCCCAGAGCAGGCGGCATCTGGGTTTGAGTGACAAACAGTAACAACAATAATGTGTCTCGGTCTCTGCAGAGCATTTGAGCTGTAGACATAGATAAGAATAGACGTGAAGCGTAGATCCACATACTCAATACTCTTCTTTAAAATCACCCAACTGAAAAGCTGGTATTGTCATATGGATTATTCTATTTTCACTTTTTAATTCTACCGGATATTCATATGGTGATTTTTTTCACTAGGGCCGTGTAGACTACATCAGTGTTACGTTCCCAGCTTGACTCTTAATGCTACCTCAATATAATATTGTTCTTCTCAGTCTACCGGTATTCATCCTATAATACTAGCACAATTTTAGTCTGGAAATCCAACTCTTTAAAATACAGTATTAAGTATATTAGCAGATCTGGTTAGGTTTTGCTATATTTCCTGTATGTGCCTGTGCCCAAATGTATTAACAATGAACAAACAATAAAAACAAAATAATTCTTCTGCAATTCCCAAAAGAGTCCAAAATGCACAATATGTTTTTCCATGTCAGTGTTGAAAATGAGATTTTTTTATATGCTGGAAGTAAGAAATGGCATCCATTTTTAATCATTCCTGACCTGTCTTGGCTTTGAGATCCAGTTCTTCAGAGTAATGACTGCATGTGGGGAAGCACCTGAATGCTTTCAACAGGCTGCCAAGAAATGGTACTTGTTTCTTTCCACATCTCCATCCCCAACCATTGAGGGAATTCATTGCACCATTGAAATTTTACTTCCTTTTTTCACATATTCCAAGTTTTGCTCTCTTTCTTTTTAGAGGAAGATTGAAGTAAGACATTCACAGTCGTGATGCGAAGGGACTTACCATTAAGGTTTACTATTATTATTTGCGTGGCTGATGCAGTTCAAGTAACACAGCACGCTTTGTGTTACGGAATATTTCTGTGCTGTATTCCAGGAGACTCTAGCATATGGTTCAATACAAGTATAGTTATTCGCTAAAAATTGTGTGCAAGTTACAAAAATGAAATAACTTACAAGACAGTAGCTTAAATAAAACGTGGAATGGTTTCTGGCGGTACCAGTTTAGCATCTGATTTTTCATGCTGCTTTTTCCCCCCAGAAATATTTTGAGGTGGAGGAAGAGCAGACTTCTATGCAAGACACGATGGCTGTCAAGATGAATATTTTGTTAAGAAAACTAAAGGAGAGAGATGAAATTATTAGGGAATTACGAGAGGAGCTGGAGCTGTATGAAGAATTTGGATTCCAAAGATGTGTAAGTTTCAAAGCAAAGAGTAATTCATTTTAATATATGTAAATAAATATATAATTATCTAAAAGCTTGGGTTAAGAATAAGGAAATATGATTGATGTATCTTGGCCATCTCTCCACAGCATAAGCCAGTCTAACCCTTTGTTGCTCAATGGTATATTCTGGAAAACCCATGAAAAGTTATAAATAGGAGCAGTGTAATTATTCTCAATTTTTCTTTGTAATGACAATGAAATAACCTATCTCCCACTGCAAACAATTTCCCAGTCTGGAAGAGCACGTAAATAGAGTTCTGTTTTAATTCTGAAGACTCCTACCCTTTCTTGGGATCCAGATAGTCTGAAAGACGCTAAGCAATCTCCCCAAGTCAGAGGCTTCCAAGAAGCCAACTTGGAATAGGATGACCTTTGGAAATGTTAAGAAGGAAAATTCTCTGAGGGTTTCCCCCACTTCTCCCTGTTGCCATGGGAGCCAGGAGCTGCCTGAACGCTCAAAGCACTGATGGGAACAAAACTGGAAAGAGAGAGAAAGCAGAAGGGAAAGTTGACCCTGCTCTGAAGGATTCTGTGGACCCTGAGGGTGGGTCCATTTTGAAGTCAGCTCTGAGCCACCGGCTGTCCCTGACTCGACCACAGTCCGGAGTCATAGAGGGATTTTGATTATTAGGTTCTAAGAGCAAGAAGCTGAGTAGGAGAGGCTAGCAGAGAGGCCAGAGGAATAACAATCTATTGGCTAGCCACCAGCAGGTACCAGGTGCCTCCTCAATGGTACCTCTTCTCAGCTCAGCTCAGGTTATAGATGAGGAAGCAGAGACAGGGTGGGTAAGTCACTTCCCCCAGCCACACGGCTAGTCAATGATAAAGATGACATGAAAACAGTGGAGGTCAGCTGAATCCAAAGCCCGCAGAAGTAGGTGGAACTTTATGCTCCACAGTAAGATAGATTCATAAATTAATATAAATTTATAGTAAATTATAATTAATAGATAAATTAATAAATTAAAGGCTGTAATTTATATATACATAAAATATATAGATTATATTATTCTAATAGATTAAATTACTCTAATATATATTATTATAATTAATGTATAATGTATGTTAATGCATGTGTATATATACACGTAAATATTGACACATACATGTATACGTACAGAAAACATCTGAGAAGTTATACATCAAACTATTAACAGTGGGAAGAAACACCTGTGGGTCGCCAGCCCCTTTAAGTGCAATCTTTGGTTTATCTAAATCCCACACTAGTATTCTTATTTAAAACTCCAAAGTCAGAAGAAACAAGGAATTGAACGTGCCCCATTCTAAAGGATTTTGTTTACCAACTCGTGGAGTATTTGCTTTTTAATCTATTAGAGTTCTTTATGTTCTAAAAAGAACCCTGAGCATCTTCTGCGTAACATGGCATTGTGTTATGAGCACAGATCTAATAAAGGTGAATAATTCTTTGTACACGTCTGATTGCCTTAGAGAGGAGGAACAGCCAATTTTTGCACTTAGTTTTCCTTAACCTATTCCTGGGTCTACAGTTCCACTTATTTTTTTGAGAAAATAATGAAATAGAAAAGGCAAAAGTCTGTCACAGTTTTGGCTTTTAATCCTGCCTTGGCTGAAGACACCCCGCATAGATAGGCAGGGCAATTTTGATGCGTTGATTCCCCATTTATGAAATGGAAAGCGCTACCTGCCTGGCTGAGAGAGAGCTATGAGAAGGATACCAGTTGTATCGAATGTGAATTGCTTTGAGTTCTTTGGAGAAAGATAAGCATATAAATTCTAATTATCATGATGAGGAAACGCACAAGAGCTTATGACCATCTGGTTCACACTCCATGGAATGCACTGAACGGCCCTCGGACTGTTGAGAACGTCCCGATTCGGTAAGTGAGCTCCTTACTCCAAGGAGTAGTGGTCTTTCTGGTGATGTCTTTCTAGAGACGGTCTTTCTAGTGATGAAGTCTTTCTAGTGATGTTGACGCCTCTAAGTGTTCCAACCCGTTAACTGGTCCGTGTGGACGTCCTGGGGAAAGAACAAGGATGGGCGATGGCTTTGTGAGTATGAGGGGAAGTGGGAGGCTCCACTTGGTCTTGCACAAGCAGGGTGCTTTCCGGCTCAGGGTGGCATTCTGAATACCCTGGGTACCTCACTATCATTTGTCCCCCGGAGATCACATCAAAATGTCTGTAAACCCCCTAAGATTTGAGGAAGGTGAGATACTCCTTATTAACTGGATGTAGACGTTTCTCCCAGCTCCTTAGGACCCCAACAAAACCTATGGCCCTGGTCTCAGGCCCTGATGGAGAGCAGTCCTAGTGTACGTTTTGGGAATAGGGACATGAATGTCACAACAGCAGATCATGGGTTACATAAAATTAAACCTGTGGAAATACCTTTTTTCAATCCTCTGAGGACAAGCTTTCCTAAAACCCCATGCCGCTTAAGTTCTAGAGGATTCGCCTTCTTATTTGAAATTTCATCTTATACAACTTCTCCCTCTAGTGGTGTAAAATAGCTTGAGGCACCAAGCATCGGAAATGAGACTTGGAAAACAGAATTTGGAGAAACTTTCAAAGCAGCAGTGGAAATAACTTGAAAACCCTTGAAATAAACAATAGGGAAGCACTCTAGTTTCTTCTTGCTGACAGTCAAATTACATAAATAGCTTTATAGTTAATAAGTAGTCATAATGTCTCTCTAGGACTGTTTTGAGAGAAATCTGACAAGAGTGTGAGAGGAAAGGGAAAATTTAATAAAGAGCTAGTTTAAACTATATTTATGACAAAACGGAAGTTAGAAAAGGAAGTTTTTCAAGTTACAGAAGCCTCATCTCTCCAGGTCAGAGCATCCTTGATGTTGAATTTTCCTGAGAGCAATTTCACTTAAGGGCTGAGCTTCTTTCAGGTTTATTTCTGTAGGAAACCATTTGACTTCACTGCATACCACTGTAGTTTTCAGGTTGTCATGCCATAGGTTGATAAATCCGCTTGAGAATTGCTAAAGGAAGTTAGCTCGTCAGGGTGTGTGCCCTCACATGCGCGTACGTGTTTAAATTGCAATCAGAGTTGTCATTTTGAGAGATTTTTCCTTTTTCTTCTTTACCCCAAAATGAGCAAGCTGCGCAGCCATCAACCATGGCCCCCCCCCCCCCCCCACATCGGTGAACATAACTGCTTGTTGCTGACAGCTCTGAAACAGAGCTGTCATTCAAGAGTGGCAGCTCTTCAGGGCTGCGCTGCCCCAGTGTGCCGCTTTCCTGGTTGTCACACATTGGGAAAGCACCTGCTCTCCTCCGTGACTGTCATGCATCATGGGCATGCGTCAGAACCCTACTTCACCCCCAGCATCAAACTGAGATGTCCGAGTCCTATCCAGGGAGCCTATGGGATTGAGACACCAATATGGCAGAAGGAAGATGGCTAAGAAGCCACACGCAGTGCTCCAAACCATATTTCTCAGACTTCATTGTGCATATGAGTCACCGGCAGCTCTTGTTAAGATACAGATTCCACAGTAGGTCTGGGCTGGGGCCTGAGATTCTGTATTTCCAGTAAGCTCCCAGGTGATGCTGAGGCTTCTGGTCCGTGGACCACGCTTGAGTGGCAAGGCTCTAGAGTACCTGAGTTTTCAGAAAGGATTCTTTCAAGATCAGTTTGGAATTCTGAAACCTGGGAGCAATGATTCTGCACATCTTGTGAATGTTCAGAAGAGAAATAGCACGTGAGACACCACCTGAAGTTCTAGTTTTCACAACATAACAGAAAACTTTAAATCGGCAAGTTCTTTTTAAATTTAAACTTCCAGGATGATCACGGATCACACACACTCTCTCTTCCACTGTAATGTGGCTTTAAATAGCTACATCTAGTTAACTGCCTTTTAATGATCTCCATCCTTCTTAACCTTGGTTTATCAATGCAGTTTATTTTAAAGAAGTCTCGTGATTTAAGTAAGCCAAAACTAGTGGTGTAGGCAGATGGTAGAAGGAACACCACCACAAAACCTGCCGCTCAGAGTGTAACAGATGACCGTAGCAGCCCAGAACTATCTCTTTGTTCATTTTGCTAATGAGTGTCCTCATTGCTGTGGGAGTCTGAATAGTTAATTACTTGCAGTTCCTGAAGCTGACAGATGGTGGGGACAGAGCTAAAGGTTAACCTCACCAGAGCAGGGGCTGGAGATGGCTAAGTGGAGGAAAAATCCCCGAGATGAGTGAGCTTTCCTTGTTTCCTGCTTTTATACGAGATTTTTTAAAAACACATTTAGGTATTAGCTGCTCCCACTTATAAATTTTACATGTCACCTGACTAATTCAAATAGTTCTTGTTTAGTTTATGATCATGGGTGCTCATGTAATCTGTTGTGGGTGTTCATATTCTGCCACTGTTAAAAATGCTTGCTTAAGCCTACTTAAGCAAATATTATTTGTTTGTTTGCTCGTTTATTTTTTAAAAGCCTTTTTAGTTTATAAATACATTCTGTGATGGTCTTAAATTGAACCATGTGGAACAAGCGATTAATGACCAGAATTCTTCCCTTAGTAAGAAAATTGTTGTTTATTAACTGCTAGATTTGTTCATTCTCATTAATTAAGAAGGAAATGGGCTCAGATAATTTAAATGGAATGGTGATTCAAATTCGTGAAGATTTATATTGGGTTTAGTGCAAAATTTAACATTATTTTAAAAATTAACTCTGATGTAACTACGTTAGTAAGCCACTCGTGTTTTAAGGGTTTGTTAATGTACTATGAAACATTGTAGCCACTTTTTTTCTGTTGAGACATTATGATCACAAAGGAAAACATTTTAACAATTTATTTCCAGATATCTCTGAAGTTAAACAAAAGTATAATTTCAACAGGAAACCGGTATATTGGGAAGAGTGATCCTGTTTTTTGAGGGGAGATTTTATTCTTGTGCATTTGCAGTCATGGAATTACTACAGAAAGAATAGGTTATAATTCATCTGAAGATTACAGTTCAAAAGTGTTTCTATTGTCTATATTAATTTTGAGGGGAGGCATATAGAACCTCCTGTCTCTTTTAGCATAATAATATAATGACTTTAAAGCACACTCTTTCATATTTTGAGACTGCATAATCAGTTTAATATTTTAGCATCACGAAGTATAAAGTTCTACACCCGTTTTTCCCCAATCCATTACATCTTAATTTTTTTTAAAACGTGTGGCAGCAAAATCTAGACAGCCATAAGCAAGTATATTCAGATGTTTTCAATAGCTTTGAAACAGACAAGAAGAAGAAGAAGAAAAGAAGAGGAGCTGTCGCAATAAGCTTCCAGCGCGTAAGAAAAAGCCTCTCCCATAATGGACATGGCAAGATTTAAACAAAAGACGCACATAATAAAAATGTAAATGAGTTTGCTTTACTAAAACTATAACTTTAAAGTCTTTTGTTGTAAGTTATCCTGAAACCTTCTTACAAGGTAATCACTGTTTGCATAGAGATGTAAGCCGAGGTCCTCAATAGCATTAATCGCCTGCACAGTCCCAGTGTGACAGGCATGCAAAGCCATGTTAATGTCCAGAATATGAATTGCCTCTGGGTGGCTCCTCCACCCAGCAGAAAACCAACTGTGTGGATATCCGTGTGCCTGATGGACTCCATGCGGCTCCCAGCCTGAAAACGTCACCACTTTGACATGTGATGTCTCCTCATGACACTGGCAGCGCTGACACTGGGAAATGCCACAAAGGCAACAAGCCCCCCTCCTTCGCCATGCACTTCGCCACCCCCTGGCGCTGCCCATCCACGTCTCCCCAGCCTGCCTAGTTACGGGCGGACAGCACTTCAGACACACACAGAGGGAAGTGTGGGTGGAAGGGCCCCAGCTGCCTCCCCGGACACAGCCTCCATAATGAATTGACCTGAATGATGAGGGCACACAAACAGTATGCTATGCATTATTCCTGTCAATAAAATGTCCCCATGTGCTGTGGTCTTTGTACAGAATGTACTGCAGCCTTTCTTCTAGCAAGCTCTATTTAGTGTCCTTCCTTTTTACTATTCATATTATAAGTGTGGAATAGAATTCAGAAAATTATATGATGGCTCTTCTGTATCTGTATTGTCTTGTGTTGCATATTTAAATCCTTGGCTCCTTGCTTAGAAATATGAAATTCCCCGTCTTTCAGGAATCTCTTATCAGAGACAGCAGCGGGGCAAAAACACCTCTAGAAAAGGAAGCTGTGGATTACAAAGCAGAAAATGAGAGACTGCTTCAACTTGTTTCAGAACTCGAAGAAGAGCTGCAACTCAATCAAAAAGAAAATTCAATGTTAGGTAACATTTTAAAGTCGCTTTTGAGAAAAATCTATACATTGGGCACTTCATAAAATTCACAGCCATGTTTGTGTTTTTCCAAACATACATTTGTTTGGTAATTTACATTTAAAAGGTCAGTTTGATAGCTATCCTTTGGTTTTCATTTAAGTACTCTCCTTGCTTGGGACAGAGAACCTCTTTGGGCTGTGATCCGGAGCCACAATATTTTAACTCAGGGTGTTTTTTAAGCGAAGCATTGGCCTTTGAAAAACTGTGCTAATCAGTGCTCTATTTCACTTAGAAATCTCATAAACAGAAACTTTTGTTGATTTCTGTTTCATACGCTTAATTGTTTATCTAAAATTCATAACATTTAAATACTTACGCATACATGTTGGAGTATGCTTTGTGGAGAAACAGAATTAGCCCTTCAGGAAAATATACTACTACTTACTACTTAAGTATTTTTAATTTTTGGTACAAATTTTCAGTACAAATTCTCACGTGTGTACTTTATCCCCTCTTTTTTCCATACCATAAACATTAGTAAAAGTTGGATTTCAGTCACCCAAGCTAGATTGCTTTGAAGTACTTTTTCACTTACTGTTATCTTTGTATTTATGTTAATTATATTCTGTTGCTCTCCATCTGCAGTATGAAAAGCGGTGAATAAAGCAATAGAAAGTTTTCAGCGAAACTTTGGTAAAATCAGATCTATTACAACACCCCTTGAAGATAAAATTATACCGTGCCAGTGTAGTTTCAGTGCTCTTCCGCTGTGGTATTATAGTACGTTTTCAGGTTTTAATAGTTCTTACTGAGTCCCAAAGTGCCACCCGCTAAAGCCCTTCGTATTGGCTGTGACTAACTGCAAAAGTGTCCATTGCTAGTATCGATGGAAAGGTCTCAGCCCTCAGCCACACTTAGATCTTGAACTTAGTTCATCCCTATCTGACCAGCCGTCTGAACAGCAGGAAGAAGGCTGTGAATGTCAAGGGCAGTTGTGAAGGTCACGGTCCGGCTAGGACTCGCGTCCACCGTGCCTGCCAGTGGTGTGCAGCCTGCCCTGAAGCAGGCGTTTTGAATACAGGGGCATAAGCTTGTAATTTCATGGTTGGTCTCTCTCTCCTTTTGTTTACAGAAGATGAAATTATAAGTCTGAAAGAGATCGCAGAAAAGGATCATAAAACTATTCAAAGGGTACTGTAACTTTTTTACATTGATGAATGGACTCTTTTAAATTGAAATATCAGCACAATTGGTGACATAGCATCACGCTTGTCCTGTGATGCAGAGAAAAGCCGATTTTTATATTTAATCTCTCCTGTTATTTGGGTAGAGGCTCTAGTAATGAATGAGCATCCCATCTTGAAAATGACTTAGTCTACAGATACCTCGTTTATTTGGAATAAGTGAGTGTCTGCCTTGCTGATCATACGGAATGAAAAAGTTATATGACCCAGGGAGTCTGAAGATGTGCTTGTGGAAAAGTGCTATTATTAAGAGTGAGCAGTCATATTTTCAGATCAGATGTTGGTTTGTGCTCATTTTTGAGTATATGAATGAACTGGGCTTATGTTGTTCAGGAAACCTGCATTTAGAACAGGGGACCCTTTTTTATCACGAAGATCAAGATTTCCTAGCGCATCCAATGCAGCCGGACCACAGCAGTTCCGCCCTCCACGCACAGGCCAGGCGCTCCTGCTTTGGTGCTTGCTTAGCTCTCTGGACCTCTCTGTTGTAGGTCTCAAAACACTTTTCTGTAATGGTCAGCCCTCCCTGCCGTATTGTCAGCCCCACGAGGGCAGAGACCGTGGTCTCTCCGTCTCTGGCACCTTCTCAGAGCTGAGCACAATCCCTGGTACGCTTAAAAATACTCTTTGATTCATAGAACAAGAATGTATTTAGAGTTCATAAAATTTACACATGAAACAGTGGATTTCAATCCCTGAATTATTCCAATTAAACGTAAATGCTTTGCACTCACTGAATTGAGATTCCATTTCTAAATGAATATTAGTTAAAATGAGGTAAAATTAAAAATTCACTTCCTCCATCACACCAGCCACATTCCCAGAGGTCAGTCGCCACGTGTGCCTAAGCTTGGGTTCAGATAGCAATCCAATTTTGCAGTTCCGGATAGTCTTAGGTTTTAAATAAAACAGCTTCCATGAACAATTTTTTAAAGAAATGGTTACCCTCCTGGGTCAGAGTTGGGAGACGTTTTCCGTGATAAGTGACTCCATCCCAGGTCTTCACAGTGATCTCATTTTCTTGCGCTTTGCTCTGTTGGCAATGGCGAGGGTGCAAATCCCGTTCAGAGAGAGATGACAACAGGGTCTGTGACCAGACAGGTGTAACCTTCTTGGCATCAATCTCTAAGGTTAAAAATGCAATCTCAGCCTTCTCGTATCACCTGATACCTTACAAGGGAGCCATCACAGTTTGTTCAAATGTGTCTAAAGCTGTTCGGTCTGGACGGCACTGGTAGAGAGGACTTGTGTAAGCTCACTATTCTCTGTGAGGAGGACAAGAAACCTCCCCATGAAGCCACGAGTTAGAGAGAAAGATGCCCTGTGAGTGAGTTTAAATATTTCAATTAAATGCTGCCTCAGCTTTCCAGATCCGCCCTGCCCAGTGGCAGCCACAGCCACCTGTGCCTACTGGACACAAATTGTGTTTAGTGCAACTAAGGAACTGAATTTGTAATTGTATTTAATTCTTTTAAATTTAAAAACTGATATTTGTTTCAGTTATTGGAAAATCTTTATGTATATTTTGAATAACCTGGGTATGGGAGTCTATTTTTCATCTGTGAGTTTTATGACTTCTAAATACAGACCAAGTATTTCCAGTGAAAATTTAGCCCCCTAATTGAGATGTGCTGTGAGTAAAAAATACATGTTGCATTTCAAAGACTTAGTATAAGAAATGTGAGCCATCTCACTAATGATCTTTTTAAAAATTTTTTTGGTGAGGAAGATTGGCCCTGAGCTAACATTTGTGCCAATCTTCCTCTACTTTGTATATGGGTCACCACCACAGCGTGGCTTGATGAGTGGTGTGTAGGTCCACACCCGGGATCTGAACTTGTACACACCCATCCACCGAAGCGGAGCATGCTAAACTTAACCACTCTGCCATCAGGCCAGCCCCCTCACTAATGATTTTTAATATTGATTATTACATATTGAAATGATAATATTTTGGATACTCTTGGAATAAGTAAAATGTATTATTAAAATTAATTTCATCTGTTTCTTTCACCTTTTTAACAGATTACTATAAAATTCAAAATTATATATGACTCAGATTACATTTTTATTTGACAGTTCTGTTCTAGAGATATATAGCAGACCCCTGGTTAGAACAGCTTTTATCCTGTCTCTTTTCTTTTCTTTTTTTCTTTATATGCACAGGAACTCCACACAGACGTAATATATAGGTACAGTTTGGTATTGAGCAGAACGAATCTAGAACGTTGAGTCCTGTTCCATTTCTGCCACTATGGCCCCTGGGCCGGTCCCTTACCCTCCTCTCTCCTGGGTCTCACAGGCTCCCTGTGTGGCTAGAATATGATAATGTACACGAAAGTACCTTGTCAATTGGAAGGCAGATGAGGAGTTGTTGAACAAATGGGAGCTGATATTTACTGACTTGTTTCCAATATCCTTCACTACATCAGTTAACTCAGCAATGTTTATTAGGTGCCTTTTAGTGCCAGGCACTCCACTACTGCTGAGATACAAAAATCACACACACACACACTCACACACACACACACACACACACAAATGGCTCTGCTGTGGAGGAGATCAAGTCTAGAGGGAGAGACAAAATGGGACGGAATGCAATAGAAGTAGGCACATAGAGAAGAGATGCCTGGCTTTACCTGGAAGGTTCTAGAAATGCTCCACAAACAGTTCCACACCTATCTCACTCTCCTTCACTCCAGCTGATTTTACCAGGCCGGGAAGAGGGTGGAAGAGCCGTGTACGCAATGTGAGTGCTGGAAGTGTGAGGTATGTCTGTGGAACTGTTTGTGATGTGGTGTGGCGAGAGTATGAGGTGGGAATGTGTGAGACGCTGTGGTGAGAATTTATGTTGGGTCAGGAAAAGGGGAGTCTGGGGGTAGGAAAGGGGCAAGCAGGAAACGGAAAGATGGAAGGGAGCGGCTCAGAAGCCTCTGGATAAGTCACATGCTCCCTTTTTTAAGCTGTAGATACAATGAAAAACAAGTTGGAAGTGGGACTGAATTTGGGGAGGCTGACCTCTTGCCATCTATCTGAGCTGAGCACTGTGAATTATGGGATTCAGTAGGTTTTATGTTTACATTCCAACCATCTAGTAACAGCTGAATCTGTATTCCAGCTGTGACTGTAATATGAATTTCCTTCGGGGAAGGAGGCAGACCAGCCATCGGAGATGACAGCCCAGCATGTGACTGGCATCAGGATGCAGGGAGGCACAGCTTGCTGTGGGGGCCCGTGGGAGCATGCCCAGCCCGGATAGTCAGGGATCAGGGAAGGGGGGAGGAAGGACACTGAGCTGACTCTGGAAGAGATGGTAGAGTTGGCCAGGACAGGATGAGCAGGAGGTGGGAAGGGTCAGAAACACGTGGAAGGGAGGTGCATGTGATAAGCTATAGCTGAAGGGTAGGTGAGATCATGGGGCGGTGAGAGGCAGGACACAAGGACAGAGAATTATCATTCATGCTGAGGGGCTTAAATTATCTTTTGAATGCATTGGGTGTCTTGAGCATTGGGGCAGAATTGGATTTGTGTTCCAGAAAGAAAACAAATAGGAGGGAGGAAAATCTGGAGCTAAGAGAGACCAGTAAAGAGGTTACTTGGATGATCAGGGAAACTATGAAGTCCTAAAAGAGATCAAGGACAGTGACACTGGGGATGGAGGGGAAGGATGAATTCAAGAGATGATCAGGAAGCAAAAGCTATGGTCAATGATAAGGCTGAAGATGGGAGAGAGAAAGAAAGAGAGAACTTTAGGGCTGGAGAACATTCAGTAGCATTCAGAAGAAAATGAGACCAGCCAGAGAGCAGAGGGAGAAGCAGGAGAGTGGGCAGCACAGAAGCCAAGCAAGAGAGGGTCTCAGAAAGGAGGGAATCGTTCCCAGTGTGTCAAATGCAGCCCAGAGGTCAGGCATGCTAAAGGCGAAAAAGGGAAGATTGGATGATTAGCTTTGGCAACAAAATGACTCTGCTATTATTAAAGAGAGTCATTTTGCTGGAACATGGACACAGTTGAGAAGAGAGGTGGCTGCAGAAGTGGAGACAGTGAGCATGGGCAACTCTCTAGAAGTTTGGCTGCGTATGGCCAAGGAGAGGTAGGGGACGAGTTGAGGGGGACAAGGGGCGAGGGAGGAACTTTTTAAAAGATGAAACTAGAGTATTTGTAAATGATGTCGATGGAAAGAAGAAAAGAGGGTAAAAGTACAACAGCAGAGCTAACTGATGAGGACATCTAAGGAGGCTGGAAGGTCTGGGTAATTGACACCCCTTGGAAACTTGGTGGCGCTTCTTTTCAGACCAAGGTATGATGACTCAACACACAACCTTTTCTTTCCTTCCACCTCTCATTCCTTTACTTTCTCGAAACCTGCTGTGCAACCTCCCACATCTTCATCCACACCACTGCCTCAGCTTCTGAGGCTCCCATCTGGCCCGTCCCCTCTATTCCCCGGCTCTGCCCAGGGACTACCCTATGCTATTGGAGACAAGCCAGTCCTTGCCTTTTGTTGACAATGCAAGGGAATGGGGTTTTCACCCAGAGTAGCTGTGCCCTCCCTCCATCTGTCATTTCACTCAGATGTAATGAGCACCGTTTCTTACTACCCACCACAGCTCTTTCAAGCTCCACAACTTTTCTCAGTTCCCAGATTCCGTTCCTCTGCACTGCTTCCTAATTCACAGAGAACACAGCTGACACTGCATGTTTTTCACCTCGGCACTTGCTCACTCACTCTGTCACATTGCTTACCTTCACTCCTCTTTACCAGACAAGGGGACATTCTTCTTTGCCTTCACTCATCTTTCCACCCATTTGCCTGACTCCATCTCTTCCTTCCTCCTTTTCATCAGCTTCCTCTTCTTCATCAGCCTCTTTCTCTCTTGTGCCTTTAAAACTTTAGCTCTAGCCTCCAGAGTCAAGCCATCATCCTGGGTGGTGGCCATTGACCCTGACTACCCCTGAAGCCATTACCATTCCCTGCTCTTCAAATATCATTTAAAAGAAATCTGTATTTACCAGACCCTTCTTTACTCCCCTGCTGCTAGTTTTTCCTATTGATAATGTCACAATGAGATTCATATTGCCCTCAGTCCTTTTCAATCGTTTTCTTTCTCGAATTTTCTGTTGTATATGACAGGACCACACCCTATGTCATAGATTCCTTCTGCAGCAATGCTTGCTTCTGATTTTTCACACACTTCTTCATCCCTTCTTAAAGAGTATTTGTCAGTGGCTTCTCCTCCATCTTTGCCTTGAATGCTATTCTTGGGAATTCTATTAATCCTTGGTCTTTGTTTTCTCTTTGGCTGACCTCAGACTCTCCCATAACTGGCACACCTGCTTGCCAGTGGCTTCCAAACTTTTCCCTCCAGCTTCCTGTTTTCCCTGAACACCACATCTACAATTTCAGCTCTGTCCTCGTCCTCAATGTCAACGTCACATTCACTGGAAAGACTTTTTTGACGGTCCTCTTCCATCCCCTATGGTTATTCGGGGCTCTCTCAGCCCTCCCTCATACCTCGGACTATTTGCTCCCTTGAGGTCACGAACTATGTCTTGTTTATCTTTATGTTCTTAGTTATCAGCCCTCTAAAATAGTTGGGGTAAAAATGCTTTACGAGTTCATCAAACTCAGTGTCAAAACTTGAACTCGTTACCTCTTGAATCTGGACTCTGCTGTGTTCCTCATTAAAGTTAATGACATTGCTGTCTATCCAGAGGAACAAGTGACAAATCTAGAGTCATTCTCTACTCTCTCCTTCGTATCTTCTATCTAGTTGGTCACTAGTAGATTTCCCTTCCAAAATTTACCTCAAATCTTCTTTCTCCGCAGCAGGGCCAGACTTTGCTGAGCTCCTCATCCTTTCCACAGACACTTACTGAGGTTCCTGTCTCCACACTCACCCGTTTTCAAATCCAGCTTCCACACTGCTGCCATAGTTCCCTGACACCTTGATTTTATGTGCTGAAACCTTCAGTGGGTTCCCACTGCCTTCAGTATAAAATCAGGCTGGCCAAAATATACTGGGTGGTTTTAGCAACAGCTAAACACTTTCACGTACGCTGTCTCAAACTCTTTTCAGAAGAACTCTGAAGCAGATTTCAATATCCTAATTTTACAGATGAGGAAACTAAGACTTGAAGTATAGAATTAACTTACCCACACAGCAACTAAGGAGCAGAACTTTGACTGGAACAGACTCCGGTTCTCCACATCACATCACTCTGCCTTCCAGTCCTAATTGTGGTGAGCAAGACCCCACATGACGCCTCCTGTCATTTCCCGCTGTTCCTCTCTGTGTGCTCTCTGGGTCCCACATCATCAAACTTTTCCTGGTCTCTCCATTCCTCCATGATTCTCTGCCGTTACTGTGCTGTTTTGTTTGCCATTTCTCTGCCTTTCTCCTTCTCCAACTTGTTGAACTTCTACATATCCTTCAAGACCCTTGCCAAATGGCACTTCTCCTGTTAACACCAGGTATGTCATATCCTATTATAATTACAGTTGCCATGCCATATGGATTTTTATGGGTTTTGACTGCCTGAAGATTTGATTTATTAACTTTATTTTTCAATGTATTATAGTCTTTTTTTTTTCACATTGCTCTCCCACCATACTGTGGATGCTCCAGGGGAAGGGATCTGTTCTGTCCTACCTCTTTTTTTTTTTTGCTGAGGAAGATTAGCCCTGAGCTATCATCTGTGCCAATCTCCCTCCACTTTACATGTGGGATGCCACCATACCATGGCTGACAGAGGTGTAGGTCGACACCCAGGATCTGGGCCCACGAACCTGGCCACCAAAGCAGAGTGTGCCAAACTTAACCACTACACCATGGGGCAGGCCCCTGTTCTGCTTCATTTTTATACGTCCATAGTCAAACAAAATGCCCGGCATCTGAAAAGTGTTCCATATATGATTATCAAATGAATGAATACATGAATTATTTGAATCGAATGGATATCAGAACTAGGGGTTGAATGTTATCAGTGTTTATAACACACCAATGACAAACAATCATTAAAATACTGAGGCAAGTCATACGAGTACAATGGCAGTATGTGCTTCTGATGGCTATTTTCAATTGATCTGACTATGGCTTGATATGCTTATAAATATAGCACAAAATCATAAAATAAGAGAAATGGGTCATATAAAGAGTAAAGCAAAATTGCTCTTTTTGACAGACTAGGACTTGCTTTATTATGTACTGATGTCACATTTTTTGGGGGGGGTGGCATGAGGAAGGTTGTAAGTAAATTGGCATTTCATATGTGTATTTTGCTTGCTTATATAATAAAAATATAATGATTATATAATAATATATTAGAATTACATGATAATCTGTAGACAGTTAATTTTTCCTTTCATCATATTGGGATCTGTTTTTCTCCTATATAGAATCAAAATACATTTCACTAAATTCTACTGAGGGAGAATTTCAAGTGTTCTGTTCTCATCTTTAATCAAAATGTAATATTCTTCTCTTTCAGTTAAGGGATGGTAGAGACAGACTACTGTATGAGCTTGATTTTGAAAAATCGTTAGTTCAAGACATGGTAAGGTGATTTACATTATTTCCTAATAAGTTTAAATTCAGGAATTTAATCCTGGAAGTTTTATAAATTTTGTCACTGTTTACTGTGAAGTATTCATTTCACTTTTGTCAATAATCTAAATGCATGCAGAATTATAAACATTTTTAAGAAAACAATCTGAGTAGTGCTATAATAAATATGCTTGCTATATAAAAGAGTCTTACATAAGAAACAGTATTACAGTTTAAAGTAGCGTACAAAATTTTTGAATTTTATTATGGAGATTAAAAAAGACAAATATGAGAGCCCAATATTTTGAAGGATTTGCTATTTTTAGTTACAAATTGCCATAAGTGACAACAAAAAAAGAGCCCAGCTAGAAATTTTGGCATTCTGTGTTAGTCTCATAAGAAAACACTGCCTTTTTTATGTTCTTTTAAGAGAACTTTCCAGACGGCTGGTCTTTTATTTTATCAGTTGCCTCCCCACCCCTCAGCCCCCCGGCCCACCCCCCGCCCAGCTTATGGTGTTGTACTTGAGCTTTCAACAGATCTTCACTAGTATGTCTTTGTTACAGTAAACTGACTGTGTTTATTATAATCAAAAATAAAACACAGCTTGACTTGCGTTCTAAATGTGCTTGAAAAGAATATGATACTGTTTCGAAGAGAAAAGATTGTTCGTAGGAAATCAACACCACTTCAGATATTGAAACATTCCCTTTTTTACAGCTTGTCACACTTTGTGCCAAGTCATGACTGTTTCCCTAACTCTGTTTTGTTGCTCTCAGCACCATGGGTTTTGGGTTCCTTGTCATAGAAATTAATGCAAAACAATGCTCCGGGACTACAATAAAGCCTTCCATGAAACCAACTTGGGAATGCAGGCAAGGGAAAGGATGCTGGTTAGCTATTCACAGGGACCGTGTGTGAACAAACACGTTATTTGGAACCCTTTACTTTTAAATACCTGGCACATGAAAATCACCTCCATTATTTGAGTATACTCTGTCGATTTCTTCTGCCCCACCCCCTCCCTCTTCTGTCATTCCTCCAAAGTCCAGAAGTTGCTTCTGAAAACAGACAACGAAATGTGCACATTGTCATTGAAATTGAAAGTGTGTTTATAGAGTGGGGGCAAATGTTATACTGTCAGTGTGTTAGCAGCACTAGAGAAGAAATTAAACTACTTCATCAGTGCGTGTGTGCCTGTACTGTGAACAGACTGCATGGTTTTTGTATTACTTTGCCTCTTTATTTGGACGGTAAACAGCTAACCGGTGCTGTTATATTGCCCACAGGGGAACCAATCATGTTTTATTTTTTGTTTAGAAGTTTGTTGAGCACCACACTTGTTGCTAAGCAGCGAGATCTCGCATCACAAACCCCACAACACCAAGCTCAGAGCTAGTTTGGGGGTTCATGTTTTCAGTAGAGGGATCATGCACAGGGTTCTTCTTGCGGCCAGGGTTTCCATGGCACACCTTGGGGCCCAGTAAGGTCACTATTTGGCACCCCCTCCCCCCGCCAAGGCATTCTGTCACTCACTGGGAGGGAGGTTGGCTTTGTGACTGCTGAGCTCCCTTTGTTTCTTGCCATGGTGCTTTCTTCCAGAAATGAAGATTTGCGATTGTGCCCAGATGGAGGAGTGGGAGAAGGTGGAGCTGACCAGTCATTTTGAAAAAATTTAAAAACTTTCTCATGAAGGTTTTTGTTCCATGCTTGTCTATTACTGTTTTCCAATACAGTTTATTTTCTGGCTTATTAATAGCTTAGTTTAAAAAGACAAAGAGCTGGTAGTAAAAAGGCACAATCACTAAGTATAGGTAAGTGAGGAAATATGGAGCAATTGTAGCTTTAGATTGGACTTAGGGAAAGCATATGAAATAATTTTGTATCTTCCTGTGATGACTACACTTAGTGGCTTTTGTTTGTCTTTTTTAATTGAGATTTAATTGCCATATAACATTGTACCTTGTACATATGACACATATAGGTGTACGACAAAATGATTTGATATAGTATGTATACATTGTGAAATCAAAATGATTACCACAATGTCTAGTTAACATTGATCACCACATAAAATTACAAAAAATTTTTTCTTGTGAAGAGAATTTTTAAGATTTACTCTCTTAGCAACTTTCTAATATACAATACAGTGTTATTAACTATAGTCACCGTGCTGTACATTACATCCCTAGAAATCGTTTTTTAAAGGAAGTTTGGACCTTTTGACCCCCTTCAGCCACCACCCACCCCCTGCTTCTGACGACCACCAGTCTGTTTTCTGTATCTATGAGGTTTTGTTGCTGTTGGTGTTTCTTTTAATATTCCACAAATAAGTGAGATCATACAGTATTTGTCTTTCTCTTTCTGACTTATTTCACTTAGCAAAATGCCCTCAAGGTCCATCCATGTAGTTGCCAATGGCAAGATTTCCTTATCTTTATGGCTGAATGACATTCTATTGTGTGTATATATATACACACACACACATTTTCTTTACCCGTTCATCCATCTATGGATGGGCTGCTTCCATGTCGTGGCTACTGTAAATGATGCTGCAGTGAACATGGGATGCAGATGTCTTTTCTAGTTAGTGTTTTTGATTCATTCGGATAAGTATCCAAAAGGGGAATTGCTGGATCATATGGTAGTTGTATTTTTAATTTTTTTATGAACCTCTGTTTGAGGAAACTGTTGTAGGGAAAACCACTGTTTTCCATAATGGCTGCACCAATTTACATTTCCACCAACAGTGCACAAGGGTTCCCTTTTCTCCACAATCTCGCCAACACTTGTTATCTCGTGTCTTTTGGATAATAGCCTATCTAACAGGTGTGAGGTGATAGCTCCTTGTGGTTTTGATTTGCATTTTCTTGATGATTAGTGACGTTGAGTACCTTTTCAGGTACCTGTTGGCCATTTGACTATCTTTGCGAAAATGTCTACTCCGATCATCTGCCCATTTTCAATTAGATTATTTCTTTTTTTGCTATTGAGTTGTATGAAATTTTCATGTATTTTAGATATTAACTTTTTAGCAGATATATGAGTTGCAAATATTTTCTCCCATTTGGAAGGTTGCCTTTTCATTTCGTTGATGGTCTCCTTTGCTGTGCAGAAGCTTTTTGGTTTGATGTAGTCCCACTTGTTTACTTTTTGCTTTGTCACTTGTGCTTTAGGTATCATATCCAGAAATATAATAGACAGACAAAATAAAGAACACATTTGTATTGTTCAATTTATTTGAAATTCTTGAAAATGTAGTGACAGAAAGCATATTAGTGTTTGTCCAGTGATGGGGCAAGCGAGTATGGAGGGCTGGATTTCAAAGAAGCATAAGGAAATTTTGGGAGTGACGGATATGCTCATTATCTTGATTGTAGTGATGATTTCACAAGTCACAGAGTTGACAAAGGGTGAGTATCCAAAAAATACAAATACTTCCTAAAAATCAATTTAATAAAAGATATACTATCCAATAGAAAAATAGGCGAAGAGTTGAAAAGTGGCAATTCAGATGAGGAATGTACAAAAATATATCCAACCTCATTAACAATCAGTGAAACAGATTAAAACCATAAAGGAACCAAAAACCATAAAGAAACCACAGCAGACTGATGGGTTAAAAATAAAAATGAAAGACTTACAATACTAAGTGTTGGCAAAGTTGTAAGGCAATGAGAACTTTCCTATGGTGGCAATGGGAGTGAAAGTTAGTAGAACTAATTTTGACAATTGTTTGGCAAATCATCTATTAATGTTTAAGATGAGTATACCTAGAACAACGCGTCACCAGGAGACATTTCATGAATGTTCAGGGAAACATGGTTGGGAATGGCCCCAAATTGGAAGCAATCCAAATGTTCATCCAAAATAGGGTGAGTTAAATTAGTTGCGGAATGATTTACAGTGATATGTAGTCATATGGATGAATCTCATGAACAATATTAGGCAAAAGTTGCAAAATCCAAATGAATGCATATAGTTTTAAAAAGATTGGGCAAAAACTATTCATGTAGTTCCCCACACAATCAGATTAAAGGAGAAAAATTGTATGATATTGTGCATAGAGGAATGCAAATTCTTTGAGAAAGGGTAACATTCAATCACATATACACACACAGAGAGCACCACCTCTCAGGAGAAGTCGGAGGAAACCTTTTTATCTTGCTAAGGAGTAAAATCTACAGCAAACACACTCCATGATGAAACACAAGGAGCATTCTCTTTAAGATCAGTACGAGACAAGGTTGTCTACTGCCATTTTTTAGTTATTTTGGAAATTCTGAGCAATGCAGTAGAAGAAGAAAAAAGAAAGCAAGAGGTATAAAAATTAGAGTGGAAAAAATAAGACTGTTATTATTTGAAGATGATGTGATTGTCCCCTTAGACAATCTCCCCAAGACACTGACCACAAATTCTTGGAATTAACAAGATTGCAAGATCAATACACAAAATCAATTGTATTTCAATCAAAAATTAAGAGAAATGGTAATTTATAAAAATTTATAATCAATTAAATAGCAATAAAAATTACAAAGTGCTCATGAATAGATCTAACAAAAATTAGTAAAAATTCCAATGGAAAATAATTATAAAACTTTATTGAATGAGATTACCAAAACTAAATAGATGGAGATGAATAAGCAGGCAATATCATAGAGGTATTAGTTCCCACCCAATTAATCTATATATTCACTAAAATTCCAACCAAAATTGCTACAAAGATGTTCATGGAATTGACAAGCTTATTTTAAAATTTATACGAAACAGCAAAGGGTCAAGAATAACTAGGAAACTCATAAAGTAAAATAAATGACATGATGGAGTAGGGAGTAACTTCTCCTGTAAGTTATTAATATAAATATAAGGCAATTAAGATATGATATGGGACAGGAGTTGACAAAGAGACCATTGGGACAAAACAGAAAACCCAGGAAGAGAACCAGACATATCTAAGTGCTGGTATATGTCATCACTACAGATCAGTGAGAATAGGGTGGAATTTTCACT